TGGTGATTCTGCTGGCCAAAGCTCTCCATCCCCCCCTGGATTCTGGAGACAACCACCAGCGCAAAACAACAACCCCGATCTGTTCTCAGCGGATGAACTGATGGAAATTTTCGTCAACATGTCCGGTGCTCTTCGTAAGTGCCGCAATAAGCCCGAACAGATCCAAGTGCTCGGTAAGTTCATCATCCAATATGGTGTCTAAGCCGCTAACTATCGCTACCTGGAACGATTGCTCTGTAAGAGCAAAACAGATTGAGCTTGCCAACTTCCTCCGCAAGCATAGCATCGACGTGGTTCTTCTAACCGAGACCCACCTAAAGTCCGGTGACAGCTTCAGGTTGCCTGACCACAACATTATCCGGCTTGATCGCACCAGCTCCAGCTTGATCGTCAGAAAGGGAATCAAGTTTTGCACTCTGCCCCACATCCGCACTTCTATCATCGAAGCCATTAGTGTGGAGGTGGACTCACCAACTGGAAACGTCCGGTTCATCGCTGTTTACTGCCCACGCCAGTGTACCGCAAGCAACGGATTAGGAATCCAATTCAAGAAGGACCTGACCGCCATCACCCGTACTAACTCCCGATTCAATGTTTGGGGGCGACCTTTACGCCCGCCATGAAGTTTGGAGGAACTACCAGAGGAACCGGAACGGATGTCTATTGTTCGACCACGCACAACATGGTCTGTACACTGTGCAATTTCCGGACGAACCAACTTTCATCTCTCCGGCGGGAAATCCCTCCACGCTGGACTTTTTCCTGTCAAACATCGGACTATCCAAGCCGGAGGCGCACAACGATCTCAGCTCCGACCACCAACCGGTGGTGACTGAAGTCGGTGTCAACGTGGTTCCTGCTAGAAGCTGCCTGCGTAAAGACTACCACCATGTCAACTGGGTGCAGTACGGACGAATGGTGGACAGCAACATCAATGAAAATCCACTGCTCAACACCGTAGATGACATCGACCGGACGTTGGAAGGACTCCAACAGGCCATATCCATGGCTGACGAGGCATACGTTCGACAAGTTCCTGTGAGGGGTAAGTTTGTTGCTATTGATTCCCACACCCAATTACTGATTCGGTTAAGAAATGTTCGTAGACGCCAGTTTCAAAGGACTGGAGATCTGGGCAAAAAACGTGAAATTGGCCGATCTGAATAGGCAGATTGCTTCCAGAATGGACTCACTCAAATAAAACTCAATAAAAGTTTCGGGCGTGTTGTCCAGAATCTGGATGACCGCTCCAGACCATTCTGGAAGGTAGCCAAGGTGCTGAAAACTCATCCCAAACCCGTTCCACCTCTCAGAGTCGAAAATGATGACGATCGGCTTTTTATCACCCCACAGGAGAAAGCAAATGCGATCGGCAAGCATGTCGCTTCATCGCATTTGCTTGGTTCGACTATCCAAAGTCCGCTCGAATATCAGGTTGCGCAATGCTTTCAAAACCTAGTTGTGCCTCCGGCGGATATGATTACAGTACAACAGATTTGCTCAGCGCTGAAATGCACCAAGAACATGAAGGCTCCCGGGTTTGACGGTATATTCAACTTGATCTTGAAGAGACTCAGCATGAAAGTGCAGTCTCTTCTAACCGCTATCTTCAACAGATGCTTGGAACTGCACTACTTTCCAAGCATCTGAAAGTAGCCAAAATCATACTAATCCGCAAACCCGGTAAGGATCCAACATTGTCTTCAAGCTACAGACCAATCAGCCTCCTTTCAGCGCTGAGCAAATTGTTCGAGAAACTCATTCTCAATCTTTTGCTCAAGTTTGTCGAGGAAAATAACATTTTCCTTCCGGAACAATTTGGATTCAGAAAGGGGCATTCCACCAATCACCAGCTAGTACGGGTGATGAATAACATCCGAAGTAACAAACCTGTATCCAAGTCCACAGCCATGGCCTTGTTAGACGTTGAAAAGGCGTTTGACAATGTTTGGCACAATGGGCTTGTATTCAAGCTTTGTAACTTCAACTTTCCATTACATCTGGTTAAAATCACCCGTAACTACCTCCAGCAAAGGTCGTTTAAGGTATCGTTGAATGGTTGTCTTTCCGACATGTTTTCCATCCCAGCAGGAGTCCCGCAAGGCAGTCTGCTGGGCCCCTTGCTTTACAGCATGTATACTTCCGACATTCCTCCCCTCGGTGACGGTTGCGTGTTTTTCCTGTTCGCAGATGATACCGCAATAGCCGTCAAAGGAAGGATGCCTCGTGAAATAACGAACAAACTTCAACGATGCCTTAACGCCTTTGCTGATTATGCCACCACGTGGAAAATCAAAATCAATGCTTCCAAAACACAAACAATCATGTTCCTCCATCGACAATCACCCAAACTAAAACCGGCTCCCTCTTGTACTGTAATCATGGATGGCACAAGGGTTGAGTGGTCCGCCGAAGTAATCTATCTCGGGATGTTGTTTGACGAAAAGCTCCTATTCCGCTCGCATGTGGAGAAAACCGTAGTCAAGTGTTCCGCCTTGGTTAGGAGTCTGTATCCGCTGATTTGCCGCAGATCCCGCCTCTCAAGGGTGAACAAACTGGCCGTCTACAAACAAATCGTAGCACCTGCGATCCTCTACGCAGCTCCGGTGTGGGAATCATGTGCACATGTGAATCATAGGAACAAAATTCAGGTAGCTCAAAATAGAGTGCTGAGGATGGTTCTTGATCGTCCTTTCGACACTAGAATAACAAATTTACACGAAGAGGCAGGCATTGCCAAAATAGATTCCAAAATTAACGAAATTAGCACTAAATTTACACAAAAATGTATTTTATCAGAACATGCTTTGATAAGCAATTTGTATATAGTAGATTAGGTGTATATAGTAGTTGTAGTTGTAAATAGTAGTTATAAGTAGTCTCCTTTTTCAAATTTAAAGCAAACCTATCCCACCAAGGTGGTCATTCTTAAAACAGGCCTGATAGGACTAGGAACTGTAATTAATTATAATTGAAATAGGGTTAACTACCCCATTTCCGGCCTATTAAGCACAACCCGCACTTAGTCTTTCTTAATCTAGCGCAGTTTAGAACCAAACGAAATGTTATTATTACTGATGGCTTTCAAGTTTATTTACCTCTCCGTACGTACCGTAATATTTGATAAAGAGAAATCAATCGTTGAGATATTGTCAAAAATCTAACATTGCTTCTTGACGCCAAACTCGGCCTACGGATTTTAAACTCGGCCTAACGCATTGAAACGCCTTTGAAACGCAATTGAATTCACTTCGGCCTATCGGATGAAGTTAAAAATTGATTCGGTATGAGCGCTTCTTTTGTTTTTGGGAATAATAGGTGCAAACCTTCATACGACGCGTTCTCATTGACTTCGTTCGGTAGCTTATTAACTAAAGTATCGTACCAAACGCATAATTGACTTGTTAACTCTGAAATCATGGATTTATTTGAAGTTTTCTGCTCGATAGGCCCAAAATGGGCGATTAGGCCGAAGTAGTTCTTTACCCTATCAGAAGAACTAAAGTTGAAAAGACGCATCTGTGTCACTTGATAAGTAATACATGTAAACCACACAAATACAAGAAATAAAGATCATTTAAAGTAAAAAAAAAGCATTTGATTAGTATTCTGAAGGAGACCTCCCAGAAACGGTTCTGGAGGGGTGTTACTCCTGCCAGTACCTCGAGACTCATGTTATGCGTTGAGTGCATACAGCCTAGAGCAATACGCAGACAACGATATTGAATTCGTTCCAATTTTATTAGGTGACATTTTCTTGCCGAGAGAAAGCAGAAAGAGCCGTACTCTAGAACAGAGAGAATAGTTGTTTTATAAAGCGTTAAGAGGTCTCCCGGATGAGCACCCCACCATGTGCCACAAATTGAACGGAGAAAGTTGATCCTCTGCTGACATTTTTGCTTCAAATACGTAATATGGGTATTCCAAGTGCACTTTTAATCAATGATTGAGTAATGTTTCTGCCCAAAAGATTAAGCTGCATTTGGGCTGGGTACCGCTTTCGAGTAAACACTGCCAGTTCAGTTTTCTGCGGCGAGAATCCCTAGCCCAAGAAGACAAGTTATCTAAGGAACTATGCAATGGTCCTTGCAAGTCTACGGCATGTGGACCTCTTACGGAAACCACACCGTCATCTGTAAGTTATCTTAGCGTGCATTGTTCTGCCAAACAGTTGTCGATATCTTTGACATAAAATTTATAGAGAAGAGGGCTGAGGCATGAGCCTTGGGGCAGGCCCATGTAAGCCTTCACGTCGTTACAATATGTGACTGGTTTCATCAAGACTCTTGGAGAAGACCCCTTACTGGTCTGCTCAAATTCGAATGGAAGATGTAATGTAACAGAAAAGAAAAAGTTAACTCCTTGAGCTTCTGGTTCATATCTTTTATCATCTGGGGAAGATAAGAGGGGACTGTGGCATCCTGATGAGGATGTTTACTCATTACTGGAGCAGTTGTGACGATCGTGTACGAGAGGAGACAAAAAGAGAATAAATGGTGGGTGTTGTTCCACTAAAGTTTCTAATAATCAATTGTGCCTATAAATTCCTCGGAGGGGTTCGTAAAACACTTTGCCATTTATATACAGAATTGCTGCGACCTGAGCCCCGACAGGGAGAACACAAAATATGATGAATATATAAAAGTTCATTAAATGGTTTATTGCAGTATTCGCATAAAACTTAAGCTATAGAATCGCTATTCTCGGTATCCACCAGTCTTATCATCTATCTATTGATGCTAATCGTACTCCAACTGAAAACTGAACGGCAACACTCAAGGGGACATTCAATAATTACGTCAGCATTTAGGGAGGGAGGGGGAGTGCTAGAAATTTACTACCTGTATGGACAACTCAAAAATGTAGAACATATAAATATCGAAATAAGATCATATCAAGAGGAGGAGGGGTATTTCGTATTATATTACTTCGCCTTGTAATGGGAGAGAGTTGTTGAAAATCCCAAAAACTGGATACGTAATTATTCGATGTTCCTACTTATTCAAGGATACCGATCATGCTTCATCTTGATCCCGGAAGGCCCAGTCGATGGAGCAAGAGTGAACACCTCGTAGTCCGCAATCGAGAAATTATATTCCCCGAACAGATTTCCAACCACGGCATTCGGGCCGTCGTACGAGTGGGGAAAGTTCGAATACGATTCCAGGTTCACGTTGCAATTGTTCGAAATGAGCAAATCGGCTCCCGCTCCGAAAATGGGACCACAGCTGCAATAAAAAATTAGCGGTGAATTTGATATACCTAATAGAAGTAAAAGTCTCCAAATGAACTTACTCTGGATGGTAGCATATCGCGTACGGTTTCTTGATGATGTCGAACTTCATTGGTGGCTCGTTGCTGTAGTTCAAGGCAAACAGGAATGCCTTCTCCGAGTGGATGTAGCCGCCTTTTCGGTTGGTTTTAGCGAATGCCACGTCTGTGAAGCCTCCACTGATGGCACCTTGAGTTCCCTACAAAACACCAAATTCAAATCGTTAGAATCTAAGCTTTGTTCAATATCAAGATGCAAAACCCACCAACGCGATTATAAACAACGGTGCAATTCCATCACAATGTCGGTGGAACGCTGCAGCTGAGAAACCGTTCGTTGAGGCACGGTAGACCAAGCGCCACGTTTGCTTCGGCACTCCGTAGAAGCCGTTCAGCGTTCCTTGCATGTGAATTTTGTCATTCTTCAGAATCGTCGATCCATGGTACAGGTTGAGCATCAAACGAGGTTGTAGACGCTTGTCGTTTTCCGATAGTGGTCCAGCCGGAACTGGCACCGCTGACGCGGGTAGTTTGTTGGAATGCAATGCAGCACGCCGGTAGCGTTCCAGGGAAAGTTCTATCGGAACGGCTCCAGTGGGTTCAACTTCCTCGGCAAACACCTGACTGTCGATGAGGAACAAACGAACGTGCGAAATGACCGGAGCTAGCTGTTGACATACACGTTGGCGTTCCTCCTCCGTCCAGTGCGCGGTTGGCTGTGTCACTCCGGCTTGATTTTTGGCCCACGATAGCACACACCGCCAAACGTCCTCTTCTTCCAGGCCGAGCTAAAATGTTAAAATTTGAAGATAAGGCCGGGTTGGTAACAAATTCATTCAAAAAATACTTACATTATCGTAGGATATGACCTGGATGAGACCCTCCTTCGTTAGATTCAGGAATGCGTTTGTCTTGACACATTCCGACGCATTCTCGGCAATGTAGGTGATGCATTTCTCCAAAAATGAAGCCGCAAATTTCGCACCTGTAAGAACGACAGTTAGATGAGCCACTGCTTAAAATATTTGTCGGTTTCCACTTAAAAATAGCACTGAAACACTTGGTCAACATCCGTTTAGTTCTCTTTTATTCATATTTTACAGCAGTGGCTCACAGCTTACACTAAGAGTTCATCATTTATCGTACTCTGAAAAATGGACTTTTCCAAAGAAAAAATCCAGTTAATGTTGATTGAAATATGAAATTAAATTAATCTTAAGAATCAAGTGTTGGGAGTTTTCGCGCATCTCGCCTCCTCTCAGTTCGTCTGCACATTCTGGATCAGTGTGATGTTGTCCCCCTTCAGCATGATTCGGCCCAGCTGGCGCCGGTTTTGCTTCTTGATGTTGTACTCTTCAGCCTCGTCCAGCACCAGGTTCATGTACTCGTCGAATCCGACTGGAATGACAGGAAATCCATCGATAATCATTTCTTTATCCAATATTATTTACTCCAGCAGCATCAACTCAACTATTGAGGTTATGCACCAGATGCCGCAAACAGCCAGCTACTTACCGATGTGACCTTCTATCCGGAGATGAGTGTTCTCGTAGAGCCACACCTGAACGCGGGATCGATTCTGGAGGTAGCGGAAAATAAGGTTGATGGGTTGAACCATCACCTTTTGCACTTTCGAGCCTTTGAACGACATTTTCGAGTCAGATTTTTAACACCTTTTGCAAAGTAAATTTTTTACAGCAAACGTTCTCCGAACGAAAGACGCGAAGAATGAAAACAAGCCGATCTGTTACGTTTCGTTTGACAAGAGGTGTGCGGCCATAGTATTTTTCGCATATTATGGCAAAAGAGATTATAGATTATGGGAACTTCTTGCACTCATAAATAATACAACACATTATTAAATTAATCTTGAAATTCGACAGTGAGCATGCATAAGGGCCTATACGTGATGATCGATTCTCTTCGTCGTGGAAAATAGAAGAACTCCAGAACAACATGTGAAAAGGGCATACAAGCTTTTTGTAAACAAACCTTTGTAGGCCCTTTTCTCACCAACCGAGGGTCGCCCACAGCAAACTAGCAATATCATCGGGAAGGGGAAAGTGTCCCCTACCTGATGATGTTAAAGGTTTGCGTTGGTGTCATATGGGTGGCGAGAAAAGGGCATAAGAAGGTTTGTTTACAAAAAGCTTGTATGCCCTTTTCACATGTTGTTCTGGAACTATGAGAGTGATGATGGTTTCAAAATTTTACACGGTGAGGTATACGAGTGCAATCTTAAAATGCTTTTATTTTGAAAATGGAGAATTTTATTTAAATCTGGTTAATGCATTTTAAGATTGCACTAATATACCTCCCCGTGGAAAATTTTGAAACCATCATCACTCTCATAGTTCTTCTATACTCCACGAGTGCCAACTT